AGATGAGTATGCTGCATCCGAGAGCACTGATGGTCCTTTCGAGACATACGAGCGCATACGGAAGGGTGTCTGACTGTCAGGCGGCCGGTAGACCATCGGTCTGAACATCACCAGTGCCTTAGACTTCAGGGCAGAGCCCGCCACCAGTCGGTCTTGCTCAGCATTGAAACCCGTCCACTCGGTCGGCTTTTCAGTTCTGCGAACTTCCGACAGTTACGCCACGTTTCCCTGCTGACTGAACCTGACAACAGTGGACTGAATCTGTGACTCTTCAGCAGACAAAGCCTTATCGGGGGCGGAGGTGCGCTCAGACTGGAAGAACCCTTGCAGTGCTGCGTCGGCATAGCCTGGTGGATGAGTAGTAAAGGGGACGCCTCACTATTGCCATTCTGGCGCGGAGGTTGCACTTGAAAGGAGCCATGTCATACCAGGAGCTGAGCGATAGCCTGGAAACAGCCAAAGAGCACTGGACCACAAGCATGTGAGTTCAGTGCCCCTTCAAGCCTACACTGCGGGCATCCGTGCTCCTACGCGGAGGTCGGAACGACAACTTCCTTTCCCAGCACTGCCCCAAGGCGATGCTGCCGCATTTCTTCGTAGCAGGCCAGCTATGCTCGCCAACTGAGACCACATGGGAGGCAGATGAAACACTTTCCCCGGTGTGCCAGGGAGGATTGACAGGGGCACGCGCATGGTGGCATTCGGACAGCGAGACCGCAGTGTCATCAGACTAGCTGCCGGCTGACCTCGGTCAGCTGCTGTACCGCGTCGTCTGGCTAGCTCCTGGGACCGCAGAAGGCATAGCCGAAAGTTTGGGGACTTGACTGGCCCACAACGCTCCTAGCCCCCCCCCCCCCCCCCAGAAGCTTCCTCGTGCTCCCCTCAAAGAAGATTATAGATATTTCCAACTTCGGTTGGAGCGACACCATCATACCGGCCGTCTTAACAGCAGCAGTTACTCCGCAAGCTCTCCTGGATGCAGTGTCCTGCAGCTGCACCACTGAAAACAAGGCAGGCAGCGTTGCATGCTGCAGATGCAACAGACACAGCACGGGCCTTTGGCATACAGACAACTGTAAGTGTTAGGAAGAAATCGCATGTTGTTGCCGTTGCACCAGCAGGCAGATGGACATCGAAGACAACGAGGGGGAGCTAGCTGTACAAGTTGCTGGCATTCGTACGGGTATGGACAAGGCTTACATAAGTCGAGAGGATACTGCGGAGAACACTTCACAATATTACTGCCTGCGGTTTTTTTACTCATAGCTGTCTTCATTGAAGGTAACGCTACACATTTCAAGATAGTGAAGTAATCATTAAATATGATGAAATAAGCTCACTCGGTGAGCCTATAAGTTAGTGAGAAGCAGTAAGTTATAACTACAAAGCTATATGTGATAAATATTTATAAAACTTTAGGTGGAAAAGGCTGCTATAGACAGCATATTTTCTCTATGAGAGCCCATTGACGGCCGTCATTTCTGGAAATCGTGCTCACGAACGCCGGATATGAACGACACGACAATTTTTTCCTGACCTTGATCGCCGCATGGCCAATGGAATGGCAGGATTTGAACTACGTTACTATGGCGTCATGCACACCTGAGTTACTTTGAATTAGTCTCCCCGATAACGTCTGCACATCTTTGCAAGTGTGCAGTTCAGAAACAGAAGGCTTTAGATCTTGAGAAGGGCGAGGGTATGAATTGCACCGGATGATCCTCAAGGTGACTGTTTCAGTGAAAAAACCCACACAAATGCGGAACACATTCCTATGGATTTTATTTTTGGTTTATGGGTTTTATAGGTTTATGCAAGCCATTCAGACTACTTTTGCACTTAACAACAAAAAAGCATGCTTGGGTGTGACCTTTCCTGAACGGTTGCAATGCTTAAAACTTATGCGCTAGAAAATGGCAAACGAGTGGGCACAGTTAATTCTGAATGGGTAGCGGGTAGGCGTGGACACCGTCCCCAAGGTAGCGGGTAGGCGTGGGCACCGTCCCCAGGGTAGCGGGTAGGCGTGGGCACCGTCCCCAAGGTAGCGGGTAGGCGTGTGCACCGTCCCCAAGGTGGCGGGTAGGCGTGGGCACCGTCCCCAAGGTAGCGGATGAGTTGGGTAAAGGAAATCTTGCTCGTGGGGCTCGAGTCAAAGCCACACAGCCCTCGCCTAATCGGTTCCAAGAAGCAGCACCGGCCTCGGTTAGCCTCTGCACGCGGCTGCTCTGCGGCTCAGTTAGCCTCTGTGCGCTGCAGGCCGCAAACAGATGGCAATCAGTCAGCTGGTTGAAACTGAGCTGGGGTAGGCTGAGGGTGGGAGCAGGGGCAATACCAAGAAACGCTTCTGAATGTCCGCCCTATGGAGCCGTCTCTCGCTTCCCCCCCCCCCCTTAAATGGCATACAAAGCAAGTAAGACATTCCTAGCAGGTAGTATCATCTCGTGCCGGGTGCCATATGCGACTGCTGTCAGTTACCATGATAAACATCGGAGCTATGGTCAACATTCCGGCCGGGCCCCAGTATCTGCCGTTAGTTATACGGTTACCATCTCACCAAACCATTTGCATGCCAATTAGTTACCAACCTTGCGATTCTCGCTATCGTCCCAGTTTGGCATTTACTACCCTCGATACGCGGCATAAAAGGACCCAGCAGAACTTAAACGAGCTGAGGAACTGGCTATCTCTAAGAGGTCCTCCCCTCGCACACTTTAAAATCCTTTGGCTTTGGGCCAGTGCATTTTGAGAACTTTCCTTTCATCACGATTTGTATATGACCTCAGAGAGCGGGGAGAATTATGTGACCGGATGGTGGGGTCAGGTTTCACACACCAAAAAACAATGCTTGCGTGAGCCCTGGTCGTCCCAGCAAGCCTATCCAATCAAAAAGTTCAATCCGAACAAAAACTCACTTGTGTATTTCAGCACATAATGACAGCACGTATCATAGCCTCGTTGCGCTAAAACACGTCAAAGAAAGTTCCAGCCCCACAGCCACTTCCCTCGGCGCGACACAAACGCGCTGCGTCCGGTACACGAGGCATGAAGCGCCAGTCGGCACCCCAGCGCCACCACCGGCAGCGACCGAACTACGATACGCTGAAGTGCCGTCCAGGTGTCAGAACCGTCGATACACTTCATTCGCTGCTCTACTTGGAGAGCGGGCTATTGTGTAAACCCAAAAGGGGACGAGCAGGGCAAACCTGCCGATCGGCTTGCGCGATACCGCGCCGTCGGTGGGGCCGGTGCCGCAGTCCCCAGCACGAGCGCGACGCCGTCGGCGACGAGGCCGGCTTTCCGCCTTGTACCTGGCCGCCGGCTTCCGCCAGCTCGCGCCCCTCGCCAGATCGCGCCAGCTCCTGCAGCTGCCAGCCTCAGCTGTCGGGCGGGCGCCTCTCGCACCTTTCCGGGCGCCTCCAGCTCTGAGTTGGACTGGAGTCCAGAGCCCAGCTCGAAGTCCGCCCTGCCGGCAACAGGACCGGCGCCAGCCGGGTCGAGCGGTGCGCGGCCCGTCACCCAGCCCGCGTGAACCCATGGCCGGCCAGTGCGACATCGGACCCGGGGGCTCGGTGCTGTGGTGCGGTCCGGGTCCCGTGGTCAGGCGGTGTTCACCACGGGCTCAACAGACTCCGGCCCGACCAGGCTCGTTAAATGAAATCATACACAAACAGCTGTTCAACGTCGGAGTCATAGGCGGATCCTGGGGGGAGGGGAGCACGGGGCATGGTCCCCCAGAAGCTCCGAGAGTATGTTTTGGCCCCCAAAAAACATTCCCAGAATTTCATAAAAGTTTCGTCTACTTACCTTACCTTACCTTACCTTACTTACCTTACCTAAGTTTCGTCTGCTTACCGTCTGTTTCAACTATGATGTGCGGTATCAAACATTTCTTTCCGTTTCGGAAAAAAACTTAATGAAGAAAGATGTTGATGCACTTCCACTAATCGCGTTTTTCCTCACTATGTGTCCTCACGCCGTTGGCCCTTGCAAAACAGTCCTACGTATAATACCAAACTTCATAGATCGGTCTCATCTCCGACAGCAGCAGTGGTCGCTTACGCTTACGCTCAGTGTTCCGCTACCAACATCATTTGAATGTCACGTCAACCCCTTGTTCTTCTCAAATTGCCATTGCATCCCGACTCCTGACTGACTCATCATTCATCTCGTTCCGCAGCGCGGCTCACCGGTGTGCCCGCCCGCCACAGCCGCTCCGCAGCTGCCACCACGCTCCATAGCCACTAGAATCGTCCTCTGTCCGGCCTGGTCACCCTGTTTCACCGTTTGTCACCCCGATCACCATTTACAGTAAACCCCATCTGACCAGTTGACTCTTGAAAGGAATATCTTATGGTACGAGCTTTGTAAACACGCATACTATACATAGAAGATTTAAAAGCATTTCGGTGCTTGAATGGTGTCCCTACTAGGTACTCGCGAGAGGCACCATACACTGGACCTCGGATCCCGCACCAGCCAGCTGGCGACGAAAGGTTGCCCCCCCCCCCCAAAAAAAAAATAAAAACAACAACTCCAGGCTAGATCTGCCCGTGGTTGGAGTGTAACTGTATTCCTGTTTTGACCTGCATGCTATTGCAACAAATGACCCAAAGCTTCCTAATTGGTGATGTGGATATATTTTCGTTCGTTGCCTTCGTCTCCATAAGATGAAGTCACCATACCGCGGGCACGCGCCGGTTTCTACGTTGGTCTGTTTTAGTGTGAGCTTCAAAACTCGTATCGAACCTCGTAAAGGGTTTTCTCGATGTACCTTGTTCTCGAAGTGCTTCACAGGAAGATCGTTCGGGGCAAGGAAAAGTGCCCAATTTGATACGCTCCTCAACACGCGAATTCTAAACTTCATTACCCGGAAGAAAACTTGTCATTGACGCGTTTGTGATGGCTTTGACGCGACAGTGATTCCGTTTTTTCATCTATTCATAGCCGTGCTGCCGCTGCTTTGGACATGCAGTCCGTTTGATTTCACGACATACTTTTATGATACAACATATCTATATTTTGTCACATCTTTTCACTCAAATGCACACTCAAATACTACAATTTGTCACGGTTCATCATGTCGGTTACAAAAATAATTACACACGCACGTAATATGTACAAGGCACTTTATGTGGCATCATTTTCAACAAATGATATGCATAAACAAAACGTGATTAAGCTTGGGAGTAATGCTTCGCTGCGTTTCGCCGCGCCCGAGTGGACGCTTCGCTTGCTTCGCCGCGAGTCAGCAGAGAAGCGGTGAGGGGTGGGAGACGCCAGCGCTGACGACGCGGCTTCAGGAGAGCGAGATCACAACAAACAGCTTTAACCTTCGAGGATGCCGGTGGCGGCACCCTCGCCGAAGCGCGAACAATAAATTAACACTCAGGTAGTCTGTTTCGTACCTGGCTGTCGCGTCGGGTTATCAAACGGTTACGTATACCCTCGGTCACTTTTTATAAGGCTTCGGACGACCGCGGGTGAACAACAACCCACCTCGCCTGCACATGCCGGGGAGTGTGGCACAGGGCGCCACGTGAGCACTGCCAGCCCAGAAACACGTAAGACACACGTGGGATCAACAAGTAACAGCGGCACTAACAGCACCACGTCCCGGCGCCCTCATGGAAGCTTCGGCGTCACAACAGTGTGGCCGGCCTGGCACGAGCTCGCCCGGCGAAACAAGCTATCGCTTGTCCGCGAATAAAAACTTGCGCGCCCACCAATCGGCTCGCAGCACGAAACATCAAGCAGGCCTGGTAGCCTCCCTCAACAACGCCGCCCGAATGCCAGCTGGGGTCACCCCAAACACGGTAGAAAAGAACACGCCACGCCGTCGCGCTTGAGCCTGAGCCGCCGGCCCGCCGTGGTCCCTCCCGCCAAAGCCGCGGATTTCGGTGGAGGAGAGCCGCGTCGGCTCCGCTCAACGGTGAGCAATCGAACCGCGCTCGCCGGCGGCGCGCGCGGACAGCGGGCGACGAACGGCGACAACTCGCGTGACGTCTGAATATCGGCCGAATCGCCGCGTCGGCTCATCTGTACTCGCAGACTAGTCAATAATAATAGTCTTTTAAGATCACTTCTCTTGGAGACGGCTCGTGACTCGAGCGGGCGCGTGCTGGTGGCGCCGTGCGTCGGGCCATGGGCGATCGTGACGCCGCGGCACGGCGGGCGCGCGAACTAACGCTTCAGGTACAGCTCGCCAGACCCGATCGCCCGTGTTTCCGCCGACTCGTACGCACAGCGCCCTCTTTGGACTGGAACAGGGGAGCCGGAGACGCCTGCGTACGGCGCCTCCTCAGTCGTCCTCCTTCTTGTCCGGTTTCAGGTCTACCACGGCGTGTAGCTCCTCGGGGGTGTACCTGAAATAGAAGAACACGAAACTGAAAAACTCGCTAGGACTGTACGCGTGGCGATGCGTCCAAAATGAAATAAGGCCTGCCAAGTTTCTGGGCTGGCTGATACTGCAGGAGATAGGTCCCGCGATTCACAACGGCCTTTGACATAGCAACTTGAAATACGTTTCCCCGGTTCCTTTTCAGTTTCGTTTCATTGTGGTAACAATCAACGTGTCGAGGAAGGTAATAACATAATTGTAATTCCAGCTTTGGATATCTATGGCAACACCACCTCTTATAATATATGTAATATCATAGCATGTGTAATTAATTTATAGCAATAAATGCACTTTATGTATACATACATATATATATATATATATATATATATATATATATATATATATATATATATGTAGTAATTGCATCCGTGAACAGCACATGACGGGCCAGACCATGCCTCACCCGAGCAAGCTTTGCAGGTCGCAGACGAACCGGTACACGTATCGCTTGCCGGCCGTCTTGTGTATGATGTTTTTGTCGTAGTAGTACCGGAGGCCCCGGCTCAGTTTCTCGTAATTCATTTTTGGCTTATTCTTACGATTTCCCCACCGCCGCGCAACCTGTGGAGAGGTAGCGGAAGGTCAGAACCCATCACCACCGAGGTCACACAAGGGCTTGGATGGTCTGTGAACGCGGTTTGATCGATAGCGAGAGTTCAAGCACATGCCTTAATCTACTTGAACATGAAGAATCTTAAACAGCAATATAAATGACACGTGGCAACCAATCCATGGGGAACGGAAAAAAATGTGCCAATCGTGGACCAAATCATGAGGAAAGACGGGAGGGAGCGGGGTTTCTCCAACTTCTCGAAATTTCGACATGACGCTGCGATATTGCACGAAAATAAATGCCTTGATGTCGTGGATAGTCCCTCTCCACACTATTCCAACGCGAAGCCAATGCTATCGATAGCTATCTATCAAACCTGCGAGTCAGCAACGTGCTTACGGCTTACGAAAGCTTCACGGGGCCACGGCCTGCAAGGCCTCCTTACGATCTAGATGCAATGATCATCCAGTAGTACGGTCGTGTTCTCACCTCACCACCGAGACAACCACCACCATAGGTCACCGGTACCACCCCAACCATAAGTACATACAATCGCCGCTAGATGTCTCACCTCGTCCGGGTCCGTGAGCTTGAACTCCCAGCCATCGCCGGTCCACGAGATGAAGTTCTGGCACGACTTGTCCGTGAGCAGCTCCAGCAGGAACTGCCACAGCTGGATGGGGCCAGAGCCGGTGAAGCAGGGGCCGGCGCCGGAGGACGGGTACGCGCCCATCAGCGGCGGCTTGACGTCGCCCTGCAGCGGCGAGGCGCGGTGGTGCGGCGGCAGGAAGGCCGGGTGCGGCGGCCCGTGGCCGGCCATCAACTCCGGGTGCCACGCCTCCGGCGGCGCCTGCGGCACCGTCTGGTAGTGCGCGTCGTATCCGGCCGCGTAGTGCGCGTCGTACCCGTCGTAGCGCGACGCGGGCGGGTAGAGCTTGTGCGGCGTGCGGTACTTGAGCTCCAGGCTGGCGTTGGGGTAGAACTCGGGCGAGCCGGTCTCGCCGTACGGGTGGTGGTGCGGGTCGGCCATGTGAGGGTACTCGGGCTCGTAGTGCTGCGGCACGTACGCCGGCGGCTCGTCGCCCATGCCCTGCATCGGCTCGGCCATTTGCGCGCCGTACGCACCTGCCGGCGGAGGAGGCGTCGGTCAAGCTACCGTCCGGGGCACAGCGGGAGGGGAGCAGTGTCTCACCGTGGGCCAGCGACCAGCGGAAGAAAGGGACAGCACCGAACACGTCATGGGGGGGGGGGGGATAGGCTGTGGCAGGTGTGGTAGCCACCGCCACCGGAGTCTCTCAGGATGGACGCAGGTTTTCTAATCTGTCATCGAATATGGCTCGGGCCATTTGCTTCGCCACGCAAACGTTTCTGAGCATGCTCCACCTTAGGTCACATCGTGACCTAACCTTAGGTAGAACGCTCCACGACAGGTCAGCCGCTCCAAGAAAGGAGGCACATCGGTCACATGGCCGATCAGCGGGGCAGGACCGCGGGAGTTGTTCGTCTTTAAGGAAGGCTTACATTACCAGGCAACAGAACGAACTCAGAACGAAGAGCAACAGAACGAACTCAGAGGCCGAGAACAGGGACGGTACTAAGGCGCGCCGACTGCGAGAACGGGGAAAGACCCGGACGAATCCGGCCGAATCTCAGCGAGCAGATAGCGAGCCGTTATGTTATCGTCCGCGCAATCCGTTCTCCACGCCGATGACAGCCGACACGCCACCATCGGTCCTCCCCACCCTCTCCTCCCGCACTGCTCTGCACCGCCAGAGCGACACCCGTCACCGGTCCGATGACACGATACGGCGGGCGCCACCTCCGCGCTGCCGCCGCCGCCGCTGCCGGCCGGCACAAAGCCCGGCCGCCCAGCGCGACCGAGTGGCACCGCGATGACGCCATTCGGCAGGTCGGTGTCACCGGCGAGATCGCGACACCACGGCGGCGCCGCGCGCCGCCGGCGCCGGCGGAATGTAATCCCGCGCCGGACAATGGCGGCCGCGCCGCGCGACCTTGGCGCCGGCTTTTAATTAGATCGCAAACAGTCGCCCGCCGCCGCAATTACCGCGCCAAAAAACGCCGCGCGCCGCCAGCCGATAAATCAGCGTTTCGGCGCGAGGCGACGCGCGCGCCGGTGGCGACGAGGCGACCCAGCGTTGCGCCGCGTCGACGAACGCACAACGGCGCCGTCGGACGCCGCCCCCCCCCCCCCCGCCCCGAGGCCACAACCCATTCACAGGCGGTCGTCGTCGAGCGGCGGCGCGGCGGAGTGGCGGCACCGGCGGCGCGCCGGCGGTGCCAACGGCGCCGACGCGGCGGCCGTCTGACCTCCGGGGTCCGGCCGGCGGCCACTTGTTGCCGCCGCTCGACGGCTGCCGGCGGCAGCCAGCTGGCGCCGGCAGCGCCGCCAGCCGCGCCGCCGCTCTCGCTGTTTGGGCCTCCGTCAGTCCTGGCTGCGCCGCCGCCGCCGCCGCCGCCCAGCAGACTGGGCGGCCTGGGCGCCGCCCCGGCCCGGCCCTGGGGGGCGCCGACCTCCGGTTGTCATCTCAACGGCCGCCGCCTCGCCGCGCGCCTCGGCCTCTCTGCGTCTGTCCCCGGCCTCGGTCCTTTATCCAAGGACACCCCTTGCCACATCATCTCGTCTCCTCCAGTACAGCCACGACGCACTAGTACTTTTACTGTGGTCCTTTCCAGCCCATAAGTGCTCGATGGTGCAACCAAAGTGATCTCATTCTCCGGCGCTGTCACCTTCCGCCGTCCGTGAGGGATCCCCCGTTCACAGCGGCCTATCTGCTCCTGCTTCCCCGGCGGGACGGGAGCGAACGCCCCGCCCCTCCCCCACCCCTCCGCTCGGCATCTCCAGTTACCCTGGATTTAACCCTTTTCCCACGGCAGCAGCGGCCGGCCAGCCCGTCGGCCCGGATCATATCCGGCGGTGGCCGGCCGATCAGCTGTCGGCGCGGGGCCGGCGTCAGGCACCCCGCGCGGGGGCGCCCCCCGCCCCCTCACCGCGGCCTGCCGCGCCACACCGCACCAGCGCCGCGCGGTGCCAGCGTTTCTCCGCCGACGCCCCCGCCGACCAGTGTTTTCGGCGGCGATAGGCGAGCGCAGTGACAAACCGGCAGCGGGCGTTGGCGGGCGGCGGCGGGCCCGCGGATCTGCCCCACCGGCGGTCCGTGGACGCGGACCCACATTCGCGCGCCGGCCAATCAGGCGCTTCCGGCGCGCGCTGTTGACGCGCGCGGCGCGCTGTCCGCGCGCTGCGCTGTTTGATCGCCGGTCGCTGCGCCGCGCGAGCCGCGCGCAAACAGCGGAGAGCGGGCGGCGGGAGGGGCCGCGCGCCGCGCAGCCTCCCGGCCTGCCGTGGTGGAACGCGCCGCGCGGCCCCTCCGACCTAGCGCGCCAATTCCGCTCATTTACGACGCCAGGAGCGCGTGCGGGCGGTCGCGCGGGTAAAGTTACACAGTCATGGGCGGCGCGGCGGCGCGCGGCGGGCGCAGCACGTGCTCCGAGGTCGGCCGGCGGATCAAAGAGCGCCGCCGCCGCGGCGCGTTTGATCTGCAACCGCCAAACACTGAACAACTCGCTGTTTGTCCTTTTTAGCAAATGAAAACATTTAAATCCAGACTGTGCTTACATTCGAGTGGAAAAAGCGTCGGCGGCGGCGGGTTGGAGCTGCCGCCACGACGACTGCAGCGTGTGACGTGATCGCGTGCAGACAGGTGGGGAGACCATCATGCCACGTCAGCGCCCCGCCCCGCCCCGCCCCCGCCCCCGCCCCCGCCCCCGGCCACAGGTGAAGAGGTCATCCCGGTCGGCGCGTCAGCTGCCAGGTCTAATCCAGGCCCGCTGCACAGAAGGTCGACCCGAGGCTGAGCGCGCCCGCTCAAGCTGCGTCACCGCGCTGACTGTCCGTCCGCTGACAGCCGGCGGAGGACCCTGCACACGACGCCGTCCATGCACCGACCGTCCCGCCGACACCGCTGATCGTCCCGCTGACCGCCCGCTGACACCGCTGACCGCCCCGCTGACACCGCTGACCGCCCCTCTGACACCGCTGACCGTCCCTCTGACACCGCTGACCGCCCCGCTGACACCGCTGACCGCCCCGCTGACACCGCTGACCGCCCCGCTGACACCGCTGACCGTCCCGCTGATACCCGCTGACGCCCGCCGCCGGCGCCGGTGAAGAGTTACACATTAAATCAGCTGGATCGCCGGCAGCCGGCGCGGAATACTTGCCACCGGTGTCGCTCAATGGCGACAATGGGCTCCAATCTGCGCAGTAACAAGAGGCTTCCGGCGCCTGGTACCGGGCTGTGGCCGAGGACGAAAAACCAGCCGGCGACAGCACATGGGAATGAATGGGCGGCGCCACGCCGGCCGGCCGGCCCCTCTCAATGGAGTGTCGAGTCCATTCATCAAAACGGGCCCGGCCCGGTCCACGGGCACAAAAAGGCGGCTCAAATTTGTCCCATCCATGAAAAGTGCGGCGTGTAAATAAACACCGTAAAATTGACGTCCGAGCGGACAAAGGGCTGGGAATTCCTCACGGGGTCGGGCCGTGACTGGCGCTCGGTGCACTCCCTCCCCCTGCCCTCCCCCCTCCCCTTCTGTGGCGGTGGGCCCTCCGCCGCAGATGACACGGCGGGGACACAGGGCGTCACCGCGACGGACCTCCGCGGAGATGGGCGCTGCCCGGGACAAAGGTGTCGTGAGAAACGCTGTCCGGCCGCTGGCGTCCAGCTCCAGAGTTCGATGTGGCGAGGGACGCCTCTGCGGCGGCCGTCCGCCGCTTCGCGCATCTGCATGGGAAGCGCGGACAGCCCGCGGCCAGCCACACAAACGCAAAACCTGCTGACGTGCCCACGGCCCGCTCAGACTGTCGATCAAGACTCAGGGAGCGCCAGAGGCGTCAGACGTGTCAGGCGTGTCAGCAGTGTCAGCGGCGTCGGCAGTGTCACGACGCCGCAGCCCACACCTGGTGACGGGTGTCGGACTCCGTGAGCGGACTCCGGTCCGCCTCTTCCTCGTCGTCGGTGCCCAAACGCCCGTCCGCGCCACTAACGCCACACCGCCGACCGGTGTGGACAGGTGGGTGCGTGACCAATCCCAGTCGCCTCCTCCGCTAATGTCCCCCGGTTAATTCCGACTTCCTGTCGCTAATTGTGTCCTGCAGCACAGGCAGTTAGTGATTATCGTACCTATCTCTACGCAGCCTAAGGGTGGTATGATATTGTTGAGTGGATGATTTAAAACTGTAATAAGAACCGGAAGTCTGCTCATACTTAAAACAACAAAGCCACTGATATTTCATCTGTAACTAATAGCATTGTAATATAATCTGAGCAGCACAGGCCATAAACGTGAAGACAAAACCATTCTATCCCGATGACTTCTCAAAGAGAACCTCTACAATCCCACGTTATTAGTAACTTCATTGTATTCGTATTTCCGACATTGTTGTGTCCGTCACACAATGGAAATCAGATTACACATGTTCCCCTACCAAAGCGGGTTCGACCACCCCTCTAAACCCCCCCCCCCCCCCCTCCTCCCTCCGAGCCTATCGTCCGTTCCGGTGGCTGCCCGGCCCAAATCAGACGCTGCCCCAGGCCTCGGCTAAGTCCCATGCGCCGGGTCCGCCGCCGGGCCAGCGGGGGAGTAAACGCGCACTTCCGCCGGAACTTACCCACCTCGCCTCCCTCCCCCTCCCCACCTTGAAATTGGCGCGCGCGGCAAAAACGCCTCACACCTGAGCGGCGGCCACGGTGGAGCGGAGGGTGGCGCTCACGCCTCACGCCTCACGCCTCACGCCTGGTGCGCAGTGCGCTGGTCCCGGTGGCGCACCACTCCAAGGCGCGCCACCTGCGCCGGTACATATCACGCAATGTCACGGGTCACAGTGACAGGTCGCCGGCACCTTTACACCACAAGAGAATGTGTCGGGCCTGTCACATCGAGCGCACATGGGCCGCAGCAGAGTCACGAGACACCGCCAGCAAAACTTCGCCGGGACAGGGCTGGTCTTTACGGTACTTTGGAAGCAATGGGCTTTTATACTCGTCGTCCAAGGACCTCCTCTGACGCGAGAGGGGACCGATTGTGCCTCGTCAGGCTGATGGCCCTGACCGGGGCCCCTCCCGGGCCGCGAGGGCAAACAATGCCGCCCGGACCCCATTCATTGGGCGCCCACCTGCGAGAGCGAACGACGCATAGGAATCGGCGCGACCTTACACTTCCGGCGCGCCGCCGCCGGCGCGGCCGGGCGCAACGTCACGCCCCCGGCGCGCGCAAAAAACGCCCCCTCGGGCGGCGGGCGCCGGCGGCTACCGCCCGGCGCGGGGGACGGCGAGGGGCGAGGGACGGCTGGCAGACGGCGAAGGAGAAACGGACGGGCGCCATCTGGTCAGCGGGCGGCCGGGGTAGGGGAGCGGGGCACTGGAGCAGGCGGCGCCGCGCGCACAACACCGCCGTCCGGCCGATCGGCCGCCGCCGGCGCTGCCCCACTCCCGCCGCGACGGACACCCGGCCCCAGCGCAACCGAGCGGACGCCCGAGACTCCGGCGCGGGCGCGGAGAGCATACCTGCGCGGGCGAAGAGGTCGGCGGCGAGCCGCGGGCCGGCGGCCAGGTCGTGCCGCCAGTCGCGCCTATGAGCCGTAATCATGGCCACCGCGCCCGTCACGTCACGTCGCGTCACGTCCCGTCACGGCCGGCGCAGGCGAGCGGTGCGTGGCGCTCGGCGCGCGCGCTGACCGGAGTGTGCGGCGGCCGACGGACGCCGCTCCGACTCACCCGTGCCCGCTTCCTGTCATGGGCGCCGGCCCATTTCGGATAGCACACTTCCCATACTCACTGGGTCATTGGAGCCAACGATATCGCCGCCGGTAGCCGAGACGTGTCAGCGGCCGGCCCCTCCGCTGACCCCGGCGACCTCGCTGACCCCACGCTGACCTCGGGGCGCGACCCCGCCAGCGCCGGCCATTGTAGCACGACCCGCCGGCCAAATGGCCAGGAGCCCAACAATGCGCAGCCCGCGAATGAAGATATGTGTGTGTAAGTTCGTTCGAGGGCCGCATTACCGCGATTTAATTAGAGTGCGCTGCCCCACTGGCGGGTTGACGGGGGCAGGGCTCGCGGTGCGAGGACTTCTGCACAAAAGTGGGCCGGTCAGCAGCCCCGTGCATGAGACGCAGTCGACTTGAGCGCGGGATCCACGGTGACAAAAAGGCCTGCAGTCAATGGTGCTGACTCGCCGAGTGAAACGGAGAATCGTTGACGGTGCAGACAGCCAACGCATGAATCCTGGCTTTCGGACCCACTTGCCGTCGGCAAAAAGAGTCATTTCGTGCTTCGCTGCAAACACATTTGCCGTTTTTGCCACCCATGGCACAAAGAGCGAGATCGTGCTCCAAAAAATCGGCCGCTACACAAGCTCCGCCGCTTTTTACAGGTAGGCCCCGCCCAGGGGCGCCACCCCCATGACGTCACGCATCCGGTGCCGCACAACATCCGGCCATCGGCTGCGCTCGTGGTGGCTCGTTAGGGAGAGGGTCGTAATAGCTCGGCTACTGTTTTACTGGGGGAGAGGCGGCAGCGCTGTCCTGGGAACGGCCCCTCCGCGCGCCGGGGACGACTCCTCGGCGCCGGAAACGCCGCGAGCGCCGGCTGCCGCCAGCTGGCGCCCGTTCCCACGAGCCGACGTAACCCACATCTCGACGGCGACGACGGAGCAGCGACGTTCGACGGCCGGTTTCACTTTCGGAGCGACGCGGCGCGGAGACGGCGCCGGCCCGGGTCCCACGGCGCCGCGTGACGCCGCGTGACGCCCCGTGGCGCCCCGTGACGCGTGGAAACCCAGCGGCTGAGCTGGTGCTGCGATGGGACGCGGTCTCTTCTGCCTTCACGGCGGTAGCATGAAAGGCGTCCGGGTGTCAACAGCCAACACACACCGCTCCGCCACCGCTGTACTGTGACGAGTCGCGCGATACATGCTCCGACGCAGCGGTGATTCAATGTGAAGGAATGTGTCACCACCGTGTCGCCATGAGCAGTGCAGCGCGGACAAAGCGGCGACTGGCGCGCGCTGAATAGTAAGTACGCCCGGCGAGTGGACAGGTCTGCCGTCACACCTCGACGCGCCACCGCACGTGCCTCTCCCCGGCGTGCACAGCCGCCTGCACCCCACCCCGCCCGCCCTCCCGCCGATGCACGGCGCGCGGCCGGCGTGCTGTGCAGGGCACCCACCCCTCCGTGCTCCGCGTGCGTCGCGCCCCGCGCCGCCGACCGACCAGCCCACTCGCCGCGTAGGGGAGGGCGGAGGCGTGCGCCAGAAAACAAAGACACCCGGCCGCGGCAGCCAGGCGCATCCCCCCTCAAGACGCCGGCCGAGGGCACCTGCTGCCCACCCGTCAATTCCCCCCCCCCCCCCGTCGGTGGCGCGGGCCGTTTTTGCGGGCCGGTTTGAAGGCGGCTGGACTTCGGCGTTCCGTCGCGGCGCTACAACGGCGGTGGGCGCGCGCCACTGTCGGCCGCGGGTCAGCTGACCATGCGCCGGCCGTGCCCGGCAGGCGAACCGGGCAGACGCAGACGGCAATTCGGTTTGAGCGGTGGGAGCATGTTTTTGTTTCGAGGCTATCGGCCGTGGTAAGCCAACATGACAGGTTGAGACAAGCTTGAATCATGTGGGTTATGTTGAGGAGCGGCGAACGACGCAGACAGCCGGACCACGTGATCGGCTCAGCGGGACTATCGCGACGCACGATATCCTCGACCTCGGTGACCCGTGCTCCCCAACGATGGGCTGACCACTGGCGCCGCCCTGGCCAGCTGACCACTGGCGTCGCCCTGAACCCGCGAGCCGACACCGCACCGGCAGCCTCCGCTCCAGCCAATCATAAGCCGAGCCGTGATCTTCCCAGCGCCCGGCCACCGCAGCGCCGAAGGCCGCCGGGGTTGACGGCGCGTCACGGCGGTCGGCGCGTCGGAGCCGACGTCGACGGCGCCGGCCGACGTTGCCGGCGGTCCGGCGCGTGCGGCGAGGCGCGCGCGGCGGCGTCATTTGTGAAACGGCGCGCCAAGCGGCGGAAATGGCGCGCCGGAGCGACGTTTCCGGACCAGAGGTCGGCGCGGGTCGCCTTTCTGCGCCACCTCGTGACACTTCTTTGTACTACTTACGCCCGGCTGATCTCAAATGAACAGCTCATTTGTGCATGCGGTTTGCGGCCGCAACACGACAACCTACTGCTATTAAAAGCCCATTGAGCGCGGAATTAAGCTGGCGGTGTGACCACTCAGCTGGGAATGGCACGGAGTCTTTCTGGGCGATCCAGTTCACGCGGAGGTCCAGTGACGTCATCCGAGCCGGCATTCCTGGTGCCGTCCATTACTTGCAGTAACGAGTTCGCAGATGCCAGTCCGAGGCGCCACCCGGCCGCCAGCCGCAGCTGCATCGGTCTGGGGCGTTGCGGTCTACCCGAGGCGGCCTCGCAGACTCCGAGACGCCTCGCGGCGTCAGGGGGTTGATGTCTCCCCTGGGTTTAGTTTGCGGTGCACTTAAGAGCCTCGTAAAACCCCGGATCTGGTGTCTGGTCCCTCCGGTGGTCACGGCATGCATAGGGGGTTTCACGGTCTCGCTCGGCCTCTGCAGGCCTCCACTGTCCGGCGGACTCTGGCAGTGACCCGGGCCGCGGCGTCACGCGGACTCGCGGACTCTGGACGCGGCGGCCCCGGTCCCCGCTCCGACGCGGCCGACCTCAGCGGATTCCCAGGCGACCTGCTCAGGTGGCCGTCGCCGGCGCGCGGCCGCGTCTTCGGCGCGGGGTCGCCGCTCCGTGGCCGCCAGCGGGATCGGAACGCCGCGGCGCGGGCAGCCGCCGTGAAGGTCACGTGGTCCGCGCGGCCGGCGGCGCGGCGTCGTCCAATGTCGGCGCAGCGGAGCAAGAAGACACGCCCGCCGCCGCCGCCGCCGGGGGCGTACAGCGCGGCGCGAGCCATCGCGGACGGAGGGAATGAATGACCGGGGAGCGAGCGCAGGAATATTCATGCGGCGAAGAGAGCAGGAGGTAGAGGGGGACCGGGGTAAGGGGGGGGGGGAGTTGAGCCGGGAAGTTGGTTTGGTGGGTGGGAAGAACGACAGCCGCTACCGATGCAAGGAAAACGAGAATGGATCTGGGTTGCCAACTGCTAGAGGCCCAGAGACGATAGGAAGATTACGAGAGGGAAAATGTGTCTGGGTGTGTAATACGAGCATCCAGGAAATATGCGTTCTGAGGTATTTTCCCGGCCGGAGTTTTCCCAATGGCTCCAAACGTATGCTCAGCTGACACCAAACCCACAAACCACTTCCAACAGCGGTACAACAAATTCACGGCCAAACCTCGAAGAAAATGGAGCGGCTGCAACCTCCACAGTCGCGCGGGAATAAACCGCACCGCCATGGTACTCACCTCCTGAGAAGGGTGGTGCGTGCGGGCCGGGCGGCGGGTGCGTGGGCGCCGGCGCCGGCGCGCAGGGAGGCCCCGGACTCGTGTTCATCGGCGCCGGCGGCGGCAGCTGGCTCGGTGGCAGCGGGTGCGCCTGCGAGTGCGGCGCCGTCGGCTTGGGGTACGTGTCCAGGAACTGGTTGAGGTCGGGCACGCACGCGCTCTCGTACAGGCTGGTGGGGATGTTCTCCAGCGCCGCCTTCGCCTTCTCGCACTCTGGAAGCGGACAGAACGCAGACTCAGCGCCGGCCATAATGGGTCGTTGTGGTTTGTTTATCTGTCCAGCTGCGTTGCTGGTGCAGTATGCAAAATATGCCAGCCGGTCGCAGCAGTTCGTCCTCAGAAGTCCCAAGCTAAGAGCAAGGGCTTGCTGCCCGTCAGTTACATGACAGCATCAAAGAGATCGTCAGGCAATTGCATAAGAGCGAACTGTTCCCTACGCAGTGTTGCTGGTCTGCTCTGTCATTTTGTCTGGTCCAAAAGTCACGCTCGAAGCTCGGCCCCTGCCTCTGACCCAAAACTCCAGTCAGTGGGCATCGGGACCTTAAAAATGGGAGAGCTACGCAGGCCCATGCCCTGTAGGCAGATTCGCTCCACACATCACATCAGCTTTCTTTAAAAAAACCTCCAGAATTTCAAAGAGAGGGTCCTGTGAGGCTCCTCCCCTCCTCTTCCCCAGTTCCTAAGCCTTTATTCGCGGCTCAAAATCACGCAATAATTAGTATTTGACCTGTGGTGCTCTGATGCCGTTTTATGCGATGCATAAACAATAACTCAATCTACCTGCCAGTTACTGTGGTCAGCCACAGTAACAGCCACAGCCACAGCCACAGCACGCCGGCCCACGTCCCAGCCATATCGCTCGTTCGCTCTGGGACCGGTCCGCATTCCCAGCCGCTCCCTGCGGCTAAATGTGTCACACAGAGCTCCACCCAACGCCTGCGCGCGGCGGGTGACCCCGCGGCGCCTGCCACCACGCTGCACCGCCGGCGGCCGTGCACGGCCCCCGCAGCAGCGGCGGCAGCAGCGGTAGCAGCAGCGGCAGCGGCGGCAGCAGCGGCGCCGCCTCTGACCCGGCTGTTTGCCGCGCGGTGCGCACGTGACGCGCCGGCGGGTCACGCCGCGCCGCCGCGGGACCTTTGTCAGTGATGTCACAACAGGGCGGCCGCCGGCGCCGCTGTGTCACAGGGACGGAGCTGCACACGGCCACGAGCGAGAGAGGGGAAGAAGCGACGGCCGGTCGCAGGCCTTATCCGAACTGCTCGAGGGATCCCCGCAGTTCGGGGTCTGCCCAGAGTCATCAGTTATTTTCCGTGCTGGGAGGTCCCTCATTCCCGTGGACTTCCCTGTTGGTTGCTTCTCTGAACCTGAATTGTTTTAGACACCACTTCGTTCGGCAAGGATGCTGATGACGCAGCCTTCCTTCGGCAAGGATGCTGATACACGTTGTGGTCAGCTGTGGGCTTTAAATGGGAGGGATGAATCACGTTTCTTTCTCACCGTGACCATTCCGAGTCACGGATCCAGGGTAGCACGTGCAGCATGCCTTCTTCACGCCCACCCCCAAAGCCTTACTGCATCATTAGAGGCAAGATGGAAATCCCGGGACACGAAGTGTCACCATCGTGATACACCCCCGCAGGCAGCTGGAACTGCTGGGAGCGCGTTGGAACTACCTAAAGCGGAGGCCTTGGCGTTCACAGAGTAACGATGTTACGAGGAATTAATGATGGCCACGTCAGCCAGGACCGACAGAGCCGGAGCCTTTGGAAGCTGCGATCAAAGTGGAAGCTCAGCATGCGGGCTCGTGAGGCGAACCACGCCGAGAATTCTCGAAAACTCGCCCTTGCGTCTCCAGTGGAATCCCGGAACCACGACGGGGTGGCTACGTCTCATGCTCCGTTTACATTAAGTTCTTGGCAGTCTGCGTAAATATAACCAACGTAAATAATGCATCGTTGCGAGGCGGCCAAAACCGGCTATTTTTATTCACCGGAAGCCTGGTTAGGAAAACAAGCACAGGCTTTGGCCGGGTCCAAACCATTGCACGGTCCACTGCCGCGGCGCGCACAACCAGCCCAGAGCGCGGTCAGTCGGCCGGCCCGCCCCGAATCTCCTGAGGCGGAGGTGCCTGCGGCAACACGGCGCGTGGGCCGGCGGCCGGCGGCAGCGCAGCAGAAACAGACGCCGCGTCTGGCCGCGGCGCACAGCGCGAGTGGCGCGTGTGCAGCGGCCGTGCCGGCTCCCCAGCCAAGGCCGGCGGCGGCGCGCTGCCGGGCCCGCCAGCGCGGCACGGCCGCCATTGTTCGGCGCGCTGCCGCCGGAGCTGTCGCCGCCGGCGCCGCCGCCGGGCGACGGTCACCTTGGGCTACCGGGCGATAATCGAGCCGAAACGCGGCCTGCGGAGGCTGGCCGGTGACTGACACGGCCCGGTGCAGCGTTTTTTCAGCTGTTTCGCTCTTCAGCGCGGGGGCTCAGCTGAATGGAAGGGTTGCGCGGCGCGTGATCCGGGCCGCAGATAATGAGGGCTACCTGCTGACTGATGAGACAGCTGAAACAGCGGGGGCTCGCTGTCTTCTTTCCGTCCCGACGGCCCCTCAAAGTCGCAACACCGCTCTGCGCCAGATCGCGTGACTGGCTTCCTCCGTGCGCGCCAGCGCTCACAGCGTCCGGCGAACACTGCCGAAACTGAATCAGACTTCCGAGAATGGGCGTTTAGCCGGGCTGTTGGCGTCGCGGCGACGCTGCCCAGACAGTACGCGTTCCTACTTAGCCGTCGTTTAATAACTGCGGTCATCAGCTGAACAAATAAACTGAGACCATCTGGCAACGGAGGCGGCTGGAGCGCGCACGCACTGCGAGCGGGCCGACGCAGCGTGCAGCTCCGCTTCAAAGCGTCTCCAGGCTGCGCGGGTGACGGGCGAAGCCTGCCAGAAATCACGCGCCGAATTAGCCGCCGCGCCGCCTTCGAACCCGGGATTAGCGGCGTTTCCGGCGCGCGCGACGCCGTCGCTGTTTTTACCCCAAATATTGACACTTTAATGCACTTTTGGTGGTCGCGGCAAACAGGTCGGCTCACAACTCACCGGCATCGAAGTCGTGTTGTCACAGCGGCGCCGCGGGATCAAGACAAACAGGCGGCGGAGGGTCGCGCCGTTCCTTCCGGTGGCGCGGCGCCGGCGGCACGTCGCCGCCCGAGGCCCACCTGGTCCGCGGCGCCCCTCGTCGCGGCCGGAAGCGGTAAGGCCGAACTTTGTCGCCGGGCCCGGGGGCGGCCCTCAAAGGCCAGCGGCGAGGAATGTCGGCGGCGCATTCACCCCGACGCTGGAGCGCCCGCCGCCGATTGTGCGCCAAAAATGCGCCCGAGATAATCCAGTCAAGACGGAGAAATGCCGTGAATGGCGACTGGGTTAAATTACGCGCCACTGGACACCGGACGGCTACCGGGAGCAGGACGCGGCCCGGGCGGCGTCCCGGCCTCTGGAGCGCGCTGACGGCTATATCGCCGCGGCCGGCGCGGCGGGGTCTAATTACCTGACGGCGATATTTCGCCGGCCGATCTGGAGTGTCTAATTACAGGCGGCTGGCGAGCGCGCCGGACGCCCGTTCATCCCTCACGCGCGGGTCGTCGAGACGCGGGGGCAGTCTGGCACCGGGAGCCCGCGGCGCGCGCTGGTGGGGCTCGCCGCGGGCGCGGCTTCACAGAGACGGGCGAAGGCGATGGTGACAGCGCTGGCGCATGTGGTGCAGTGGCGCGACAGGGGTTTAATGATATGTCATAGCGCCGTTTTACGTTTAATTTACTTCCGAGAGGCATACATTCGCTTTGCGTTCTTTTCTAACAAGTACATAGCAGTATTCAGCCTTAAGTACGACTTAATCGGTCATTTTTAATAATATGACACAGGTCACAGCTGATTCAGAACAGACTATATTGTATCCACGCCGTGACGCAATGGTGATCAAAGATGTTAACAAGAAAGTTAGAACATGGTGCATATCAACTGATGTATTCAGGTATTATTTTATAAGTAAGGTATATGAAATTAGATATGTCTATGCCTCTTCTCAGAGCACAGCTCACTAGCCTATTTCGTCGCAACATACCGGTGAAAAGAATAGCTCGTGTTACATTCGGCGTTCTTGGAAACCATCAATGCCTAGGGCTCTGATCACCAGTCAGAGCTGCATTTGCACCGAGAAGCCAAGTGCGGTCTGCCCAGCAAAATACAGGTATTGCCCTCGTCACGAAACTGCTTACATCACTTTCAATTCACACATAAACGATCGTTGTACGCGCATTAGTGTGAAGCTGAAGGAAATGCCCGGTTTCTTGGAGATAGGGATCAGAGTCACCCCATTATCATCCAGACACTTTGCGGGGGTGATTATGCATGCAAGCCGGTAGTTCCCCAAATAGTATATTATCAGCGAGCAGCGCGCAGCCCGAGTGACAGGAAAAGTTGTTGCAGTCCGAGGTGCCCGTAGCTTTCTCAGACACTTTTCGTCGCTTGCTTGAGGCATGCCGATTTGGCCAATGCCCATGGTTTGTCTTCGAACACGAGGTTCCTTTGATTTATGCCGCCTGCTAAGCTCATTCCAGTGTGTGCCGACTCCATAAAAGTTAAAGAGAAAAATACAGGCGACCCGTTACCAGCATCGCATGCCGCAGCTGCCACGCCCATCCCGAGGCCCGCCACGTCGCCGTCTGCCGTCACTAACGCATCCTCTACCCTTCCCGCAAAGCCCGTCCTCACCAAACGTGAAGCGACTTCGCAGCTCTCCCCGGCGGCAGTGGCGGCGCGGACGCGGCAGTTGCGGGGCGGACGCGCGGGTGCGGCGCGGCCGGCGCGTCGGCGCGTCATGGGGCGGGGCGTATCCGGGGTCCGCTTCCGGTGGAAACGGTGCCAGGTCAGGGTCCGCTGGCCACGCCACTGACCGATGGCCATCGCCGATGGACAAATAACAATTACACGCGGGCGCCGGCGGCGGTCCGGGTCACGCCGTGTGAAAACGCACACAAACACGGCTTGCGCAAACGGGGGCGTCGGCGTCGGCGCGGCGCCGTCGGGAGACAACGGCTCGCGGCCGGTGGCGAAAGCGGGGGCGCGCTGGCGAAACGTCGGCTCGCGCGTCCGCCGACGCGCCGCGCGTCGCTGGCGATGTGATGTGATTTAGTGCACGCGACGCGCGTTGTCTGTGGTCCTTGTAGCGCTGGACCACGAGAAAGCAAGAGTCCCCGTTTCGTGTGAGCGTCATCGGTTATTCCGTGTGAAAGGTCAGACACTCAACGTGCCAGCCGGGCTCACTTGTATATGTCGCCGATTTAGCGCCACATAGTGTGCGAGGCAAATGCCACGCGAACGCGCCGAACATGGCGCACCACGCCGAAGCCCGGCCGGCCAGCGCGCCCCTGCCGTTGAGCGCCGCCAGTGGTGCAACCGACAAGACAACAGGGCCGTGCCGGCGGCCGCGCGCTGTGAAACAATGTCAGCCCGTTCCGGCCGCTGACTTCGGACAAACAACCGGGCCGCGTGGAGATTGGACAGATCGCCCGGGGCCGCTCATCAGCCATCAGCCGTGTGACCATCACACCCCGTCCCCTCTCCCGGTGCGAGAGGGGAGGGGTCATCTCCAGCGGCGCGTGCCATCACGCCAGGGACAGGTGTTTCAAAGCGCGGCGCCGCGCGGCGCCCCCGCACATTGTTCCCGGCTCTAAACACGGCATCCTCCGAAACGGCCGTCGACGAATGAGCCATGTTTGCGAAATATTCACTCGCCGGTCGGTGCTAACGGCTCGGTGGCGCTGCCGTGTGGCGGTGTGCCTCGCCCAGCCGGGGGCCAGATGCGACCGCAGAGCGGCGCGGACCGCACAGCGCGGGGGCGTCGCCGTAGCACCAGACAGCGGGCCAGGGGCTACCTGCCGCGGCACCAGGCAGCTGCGGGCGACATGCAGCTGGCATGTCCCCCCGTCAGATTTTGCGATCGACATGGTCCAGGCCGCGGATAAGTGACGTTGCACCAGAGTCTGCGGTATCCTCGGAATGTTCTGGTGCGCTGACACATGAGCGCCCCTCAAACAAATAGCATTATATCATTGTTTGTGTTGCCTCAGCTGCTCCAGCGTCACGACATCCTCCGCCCTGACACTCTGCCGAACGAATGGCGTTCCCCGCTTAGCACGATTTCCGACGCTGCGCTAGCGGAGTAACTTGTCAGGCACCGCGCACCTTCCAAGTGCTCCTCGATCGACGCGATGTCACCCCAATGGGGACACGCCTAGCGGTGGGGGAGCCCCACCCCTCGCAAACGGGCGGGGTGGCGCCGTGCTACCGCCATCTGCCATCAACGATACGGTGCTGCCAAACGTAAATATTTATTGTCATCAATCGCAGCGGCCGCGCCACGACGGCCGTGCCAGACGGACGGGCACCTCCAGTTCCGGAGATGCTCCAGCACGGCTGCAAGACCGACCAACGGCCGAGCGTCGTTCGGGTGACGTCACAGGCGCTGGTCGGGGTCGGTCGGGCCAACCAGGGGTGGGGGCCAGATCCTCGCAGGAGGAGATTGGGGCCGTGCGGGGATCGCAGCGAACGGTGGACCGTTTTGAACAAAGTTTCAAACAGGTGGGCAGGTGGTGACCAGAACGGCAGCGGGCTTGACGTGAACTGGCTAGTCTAGCGCCTGCACCTGGCGAGGTCTGGGACCGATACAAAACCCAGTCAGGACCACACACTGCTCCATCATACTTCTGACGAGGCCAGTCAAATATTGCTGGCTTCAATCATTGAGCGAGCCGTGGCGACGAGACGTTCGTTTAGACAGGTCCATTCAAACCCGACGGTCCGATCTCAGCTCGGAAGCACAGGCACGTAGCTGCCACGCTCCAGCCGGCACCTTCCAACTCGTATCGTACGCAGCTGGATCGCGCCTTCCGTGTCGGATTGCGGAAGGCAGGTCCTGCTACCCGATCCTTGGGAGTCCATCAAATGCAGGGTACAGGGTACAATGCCCGGGTTTCCAATGCAGCTCACCATGAACACATCAAGATACGACATTTCAGAGTTGTGCGATGCCACCGACAGTGTGATGTTCAATCATTTGGGCTCCCTCTCAGAGGCATGCACTACTGTCCAATTTTTTTAACTGGCTGTGGTTTTCTCCGCCTATTAACAGCACAAAATTGCTCCGATGGTACTTAAAGTCGCCATTTTAGCAAGGCGTCGATGGCTAGTTTTCCGGTACGAAAGTTTCCAGAGATACCTGATGGATTTCAGTCTAAGCTTTTTAGGACATGCTCTCCATGTAACACCATAGTTCTAGTGTCGAAATTCTGGTATGATTGGGGCCACCCCCGCCCCAGCCACCCGCCACCTAACGGTAAACAACGCGACACCTCTGACCGGAAGGCGATGGAACTTGAAGTGAAAAATGCTCCCAATCAACGCATGACGCTTTGCTGCGGCGTGCTGTCGAAAAAAAAAATTAGATGCGCAGTCAAGACGAAGGGGGCGAGCTTTGTTGCTTTGTATTTCATAATCCTGTTGCTCTCGATACGTCTCCAGAATCTGTTTTGCTTTGATCCCGCGAAGGCAAACCCTGCGAGGTGGACACAATTCTTCCACTCAGTATCGCAAAATATCTTGGAAATGGCGGAGGGGTAGAACAATCAACGGTGCGCAGCTGCCATTTGTTAAATCGAATCCGTAATTTTGAACTTTTTCTGTTTTAACTTCGATAGCTGTTTTTTCTGACAGCGGAAATGCAGTTGCTAAGAAAATATCATGGAATGACGACAAACCAAGAAAAATATATATTAAGAACGATTTCACCGGTGACGGAACTTGATCGACAGCATCAATATAACCTATCATATCCTCACATGAAGCGACCAAAGAATGTTGTCTACATTTGGCCTTCATGACGTTGTCTCCCATTGGAAGTCTGCAGTGCTGATTGCTCAAGGTCGGTCTTAGCCGGACGAGCAGGTTTCAGATATGACGTAACTGGATCACAGGCGCTAACAATCACGACCTCGTGTCGCATGTAGTCCGTGGAGATGGTATCACGGCTTACACTGCTAAAGAACCTGACATTTCTCTGTCACACTGGCCGGGCTCCTATAGAGGGTCACCAGCACTGCGGGCTGACAGCAGTGCTGGGCTGGACAGCGAGCGGCCGGGCTCATACAGAGGGACACCGGCACTGCAGGCTGACAGCAGTGCTGGGCTGGACACAGAGACCTTGCAGCCGTATTTCAACGACCGACGCACCGGTTCTTTGCAAATTTTCTTGAAAGGATAAAAGCCCGATGATTTTTGTCTAATTTTGTTGACGGAGCCAGTTAGTACCATACATTTATGAAAGCCACGTTCTGGGTTGAATAGTCACAAAATGTTGCGCCTATAACAAACAACCGAACAACCGGAAGTAACCATTAAGGTGGGTGGTGGTGCAGTGGTTAGGACGCTCGGCTCTGGACCCATCGGTCTGGGGTTCGAGTCCCTGTCACGTCACCACCGCATCTAACATGATTCCTTACAAAGGCATCAATCTCCAGATGACCCTGGCAGTTGGTGAGACGTAAAGCCCCGATTACCATAATAATGTGAAGTGACCACGACATGGAAAATTGCTTCAAATGCCTGACAGCATCACACCAACTGAACGGCTGTCAAATACCAGCGGCAAAAGCCTGCTCTCCTAGAACCCACTTCGATGTTCGAAACAAAGTCGTAGCGCTAACTGCCGCACATTCGAAGGACAGGCACGTTTTCGCCGACGCGTTCGCATCGGCTCGTCCAGACTGTGTACTCACCACGCTGCAGGTTCTCCAAGTGCTCCCACAAAATGTCCCCCATCCACTGAGGCGTCCGGGCCAGAAAGTTCTCTTTGCCCATAGCGCACATCTCGCGCCCCGTCATATTGAACTTGTCTATTTCCACTCCCTCCATGCAGAACTCGTTGGTGGCCCAGCATAGCCAGTGCACCACGTCCATCTGAGTCCACTGGCGCGGATCTGCAACAGGGTCAGGTCAGCCGGGTCAGGGCGGGTCGGGTCAGGTCAGCCGGGTCAGGGCGGGTCGGGTCAGGTCCAGCCGCCGGGGCACGTCACTGCTTGTCTGACTTTGGCCGGAAGTCAGGAGCGGAAGGCTTCAAGAGCAACGTTCAGGAACCTTACAGAGATTGCGCCGACCAAAACAGTTATTCTATCGCATTTTCCTGCAGCGAACAGGGCATCATCATTTCAGTAATCAGCTTTAAAACGCCAATAAAACCGTAAATGAAATGTGGTCACTTTTACGCATTGTCTCCAGCGTTCTATATTATATCCATGATAATATAGAATTAGGTATTATATATTATCTATATATGTATTCTATATTATCTCCATGATAATATAGAATACAACGTTGTTATTACTGAAAGCACCGTCACCGCGTCATCGACTGCACGTTGACGATGCTGATACCATAATTTTCAGAATTCCTGCCGCTTACGGGAGGATACACCTGACACACCGACAGATGAAAAACTTGAGAGGATATGCCGGACCTTTGCGCGTGTTTAGTTAAAAATGATTCGGTTCGGGGTGGACTAAAATAGTTCAATTTACCAAAACAACGCTATAAGTCTTAGATTCAAGCCAAAGGGAGCGAGACACTAATAAAGCTACGCTGCGGCTCTTGTCCCTCACATTTATTAACTAAGGCACTCGCTGAAAATCAGACCACAAAGACAAACTATTCCAAAGCCGGGAGCACGTCATTCGAATCGCTGATGCGTTTATGTCAAATTGGTTCCGTGGTTCCGTGTAACTTCGGAATACCTATCGAACAGAATTCGTCATTCAAATCCAAAGCACAATAGCCCTGAGTCTGCCGACCAAATATTACAGCTATCCACCGCGCTGGAAACTGGCGGCCATGCTGGATCTGGCCCATGACAAAAGAAGCAATCCAATCACAACCGCTGATCTACCATTGCTCAACAACTAAAGCAAAGCCTTGCACTTGGCTCCGTCGCTCGATAATCCCTCCAAGCACTCTTGACACTGCGATAGCCACGGCCGATTTGTCGGCGGCTTTGATGCTGCGGTGCCCGCTGCGCGCTGGGTGATATCGCCTCTGGCGCAGGTGTCTCCGGGGGAGGGGGTGCAGCGACAGCCGCGGCCGCTCGTGCGTCCCGAGAGGCTGCGTGGCGGGATCGCCTCACCTTTGGGTATGTACCGCTTCTCTTGCTCTTTGTTCCAGTTCTCGAAGGACGCCATGAGGGCGTCTGCGATCTTTTTGTTGGTGCCGGGTGTCAAGGGAGGCACCTGGGACGGCAGGTCTGAAATTCACAACGGAGACGGGTGAGCACAGACACGCAAGACACCGCAGACGAGTGAGCGCAGACACTCCAGACACCGCAGACGAGTGAGCGCAGACTTTCAAGACATCGCAGACGGGTGAGCACAGACACTCAAGAAGGTCGGGAGATGTATCGAGACCACACAGCAAACCATATTTCACACATCAGTCCTGAATTTAGAGATAGAGACAGCTGGGCAGTGAGTTCCAGACACTTGCACCACAGACAGCTGGGCCCTGAGATTAAGAGCTCGCAGACAGCAGTGCTGGAATCCACAGACAGGCGATTGTGTACTGACGCTCTGACCTCGCAGGCGACTGGGAAGGGACACTGGCACACCACATACAGGTCGTGATAGACAATCAGACATCCCAGGCAGATCTGAGACCAATACACAGAGATGCCGAGCGCATACTACACGAACGTTTACAGACACTCGGGCACTTGAAAAACGGCAGAAGTTTGTTGTTCAGGGACGGAGTCGCGTGGAATCCCGATAGGAGTTGGAAACAGGCAGACCCAACGCGGAAAAAAACTCGGCGCATTTAGGAAACTGGAATGGCAGGTTAGCGTTGACGGGCATAGCAGAGACCCTCTCCAGACGAAGCGGGGACAAAAAGGTGTCTGCCGGACTCGTTCCTCCCAGGTAAATACAGGTACGTGACTGTCAAACTGAGGCCGGTAGACACTGGACGCCAGTGGCCTTCAGGAAATGCGCACCAACGATAACGAAATAAGGCTAAGCTCTTAGATGGAGATGGCCGTGAGTGGACGGAAAATGAGAATCGCAAAAATACGTAACAACTGCCACATTAAGAATAACATTATTTAACGGGGCCAAATATATAAACATAAACCGTCGTACAATTATTTACCAACGAACACCCCTGCAGCTGCTTTGCTCACTGACTCGCAATATCTCACAGTCGCAGCGGTCGTCACGAACGGGCTAGCAAAATTCTAGAAGTCCGAATGGTTTGGGCAAAATCACACGGTTACATAACCAGATCTGACGCCAATAGTCAGCGCCAAGCAGGCTTGGAAAAAGCCATCAGTTCCACCTCGCGGCCACGGATCGTAAGCACCACATGAGCCAGGCCGCGCAGCTGTCTTGGCCTCAGCCTGCCAGCCCATTGAAACGCACCGCGCCTCCCGAGCGCCTCTACCTCCGCCAGCAGCACGCGCACGGAAGCGCAGGTGGGCGGCCGCTGCGGGCGGCTCACGGCTCCTCGGCGGCACACGCGGACACCACGGCGACGGGCGCCACCCCCACCTGGACGGCGCGACCCAGCACCGACCGACCCGACGCCACAGCCGCAATAACCGGGCGGCGGTCCGTCCGCCGAGAAATACACGGCCAGCCGCTGGAGCGGCGCCAACGCAAACGCCATGAAAACATCGATTCTACACGGGTTGTGGGCTACAGTTGCAATTGGCGGTGATCAAGCGTATCGTTTCCGACGCGGCTGTGGGGGCGGCGGGGCTTGGCAGCGGCGCAATGGCCGGCGCTGGCGCGCGCGCGCGCACCGTACCTCTCGTTTTCTTCGCGGGGCGGAGCGCTGGCCGCGGCACCATCGGCTCTGGCTTCTGGAACATGCGGCTGCTGACCATGTGACTCGCCTGCGCCATAGCGCCCGGCGCGCGCCGCTCGTCGCGCGTCGCGTCGACACGCGGGTTGTTCGGTCGGCCGGTCGCGCGCGCCGCAGCACCGTCCTTCGCGCACCGTCCCCCGAGAGACACTGGCGCCCCGCTCCCCTCGCGGGCGGCAGCGGCGGCGGACGGCGGCGGCGCCCGGGGCGGCGCCGGACCCGGCGCGGCGGCCCTTCGGCGCCCTCCGCGCGCGGCGCCCGCTTCCGGCGGTCGGCAGCGTGCCGACGGCTGTCGTCGACGTCGACGGGGGTCGCGGGGTGTCGTTGGGGGCGGCAACGATGGAGACGACGAAAACGCCGCTTGCCGACGGCCGGTAATGCGCGACCAGTCCCCAACTCGGGCGAGACTAATTGCCTCCCCAGGGCCACAACAACTCGCTCAATGAAAGTTTATGAATGAATAGCCTCTACCGGGGCGGCGTAGGGCGGAGCCTGCCGGGCAGCGGCGGCCGCTGATTGGTTGAGGCCTTGGCAGCGGCGCGCGTCAGAGCGGCTCGCAGGTGGGAAGGCCGGGGGTGGACGGCGGCCGGACCGGCGGGCGCCGCACCGGCCGGTCGGCGCGGCGCCCACCCAGCCGCGAACACCCCTCCCCGACCCGCCGACCCCGGCCGCGCCGAGCCATGAGGTCAGCCGAGCGGCGCCGTGACGGCTCGCCCCAACTGGCACGAGCAACAGGTGACCACCTGTGCCGCCGCCGCCCGGCAACAGCTGACCCCTCAATCACGCCGACCGTCGAGAAATAAAGGGGCCGCCGCCGCGCCAGACAGGCGTCAATCATCCAGCTCGCGCGCCGCGCGCGCCCCCAGACGGGCCCCAGACCGCATCGGCGCGAGACGTCGGCGAATCAAAGGCAACCGCGGGCTCTGCTGGGTGGTGGCCGCCGGTGGCGGCCCCCGGGAGCCCCGTGCGGCGCGTCGGACTGACGGCGCGGTCAGTGGAGGTCGCGTGGCCGTGCCGGCAGCAGTGGCAGGCCATCATTAGCCGGCACGAGCCGGCCCCGGGGGCGGAGGCATGCGCCTTCTCTCTCCTCGGAGGAGAAGGGAGCCTGTTTCACTCGGGCGCCCTTCTGTGCGCCGCAGACTGTCGGCGCCGGCAGCTGAGAAGGAGGTGATGATGCGCCGTTGGGAAGAAAGTTGCAACAAATTCGTGGAAGAGCTTGTTCTTCGTTCAGGCTACCCGTCAGCGCAGCTTTCATATGACTCTCGGCGAGGTCTTAATTTTGTATAATCACGCCTGCTTTTTGTTTCGGTTTTGGCTCGTCGGACGACAGAGCCCGGGCCAACCACGGTTTGGTTCAACCTTGACTCCGCTCCGTCATGGTGAACGTAACGTTTTGGCCTGTCAGCCCCTGTTCAATCTCAGCCCGTTTTGTAAAACCTGAGATTTTGTTCGTTTCTTTGCAAACTCCGCACTTTCCACACAGCGGGCGCGTTTCGGTCGGCTCTGGCCCGGTTTGGGCTCCGTTTGGCTCGGTTCCGAGCAGCCCCGATGCTTATCTGGCGGTGGTGGAGGCCTGTTCCCACGCCTGTCTGGGGCTGATCGCATCGGTCCAGCGCTTGTCTCGACCTCCGAGTGGGGTCAGTGCAGATTCGGAGCGTGGTGCTCTTGTCAGCTGCTTTCGCCGACGATGGAAATGAACCACAATAGCATTTGGTGGGATGTGTTATCGGTGCTAGGGACGGAACGGAACGGTGTTAGACAGGGAACGGTGAACGGCCGAGGCTTTTAGATAGGAAAGGGTGAGGGTAAAGTTGCAAGCATGTTGTGTCCTTCATACTTATTGTTTTACGTCGGGGTGCTACATGACCAAACAGCCGACACGACAACAGAAACAATCACTGTCATATTGTGTTATTTCAAGTCGCTTTTTATGCCTGTTTCCCTTCGCGAATCCAAGGTGAAATGCGTGCCGCCCATGGTTCTCGCATTCCACGTCCTCCACTGTTCAAATGGACTTCACTTGTTTTGCCATTTCATCGCCCGCGGCAAGTCCCGGAGTCACCGCAGTCACCCCACGTGGCCACGGCCGCACCAGGTGACCTTGCCAGGGGTGAGGTCAGGTCGGTGGTGACGCAGAGCCGGCAACGTCCGACCTTCAAACCGATGACGCTGCCTACGGGCCGACGGTCCGGGACGACCGTTGGAGCTGGCGCCCGACTCACGCGGGCACGGTCCCACGGCGGTAATTTCGTAGTGTCCGTGCCTTGCACCGGTGCAGCCGCATGCGAACCGGTCAAGCCCGAATTTGCTTTTTGCACATGTGTGCCGTCCAGGGCATGCAGTGGGCAAACGGTAACTGCCAGAAGTGAGCCACTTCAGGGGGAGTTGCAGCTTCCTCGCCGTTGGTTCTGCTGGCCAGTGGCGGCCCGGAACATACTCAGAATAAGTTAGTGATGCACTGTCGTTGCGAGCGCAGAGTTTGGCGCCGCGTTTCAAAACGACGGCGTCAATTGACGTGTTGCAGGACTTTTCTTGTTTGGATGATTTCTGTGAGATTATTGATCGTTACTGAACGACTGCAGCATAGTTGCTTTGCACCCCGGTCGTGTGAAAACCCCAATCGCGACATGAACACCGCGGGAAATGTGGTGTGTTTTCATCACATACTGCAATGACCGCTTACTGTCTTCACTTTCTCAGTAGCCCTGGCACGTTGGCGGTCTGCGTTCTTCTACCAGAAGTGCTTGAATCAGGTTCGTGGCTGAGGGGGCCATAATGACCAAGACCATCATGGAGCCGACTCAGGTGGCATGTTACATGATTCACCATATCGCGAAACTTCTGGCTGAGAAAGCATTAAACATCATGAAAAAAGCATCAATTTCACACATTTTTCTAATTCAGCGTAGCCGTACCCCATTTCTCCTCAAATGCACAGTATTTTCAAAAGGTCATATTCATGCAATACGTTCGAATGGTTTATAAAACTGATGGACAGCATCTCTCCAGACGTGCTCCAAATGTAGCGACTCCAAACAAATGCCGTTTACTATTACTAAAGATTGATTAAGCAATAGACCATGAGCCAACATAGCTGAGCCTTGATTACGTAATCTAGCTTTACTGGCAGCTACCAAGCATTAGAGCTTTGCTACATCAAGTACGCTGCCAGGTCTCAGTTGGCATTGGCAAGGATCATCCAGACTTCCGTTTGACCCTTTCAATGCCAATATTCCTGACAGACCAGACATATTTGCTGGAGCAAATCACTTCTTCTCTCTGACGAAGCTCGACTTGCCTCGTAGTAGTTGGGTGTAAAATTAAAGAAGTACTCGGTGGTAAATACAATAGATACGCAGGCATCAGCAAATCATGCTTTTCACAGCACAA